TACCATAGTATTATTCACGGACATCAGTCGGTCGAAAAGACCAGCCGCTGAGCACTTTGGCTCCTCAAATAGTGAATAATCTAGAGTAATTACAGGCGGTCAATAATGGTGGCAAGATCGTCAACGATCTGTTGACAGGCGTGAAGCCTCTCAAGCAGTACATTGTGGGGTTGGAGACTGGCTTGGAGGCATCGACGGTGGATCTTATCTGGAGATTGTACGAAGTTGAGCATATTGGGTACCATAGTATGCCCAAATAAAATTCTACTCAGCTGAGTAATGTGTGGGCTAGTGCAATTCCCAGGGCATGGGGCGACTCGAAGACGACCCCGCCCGAGCCATGAAGAGCCCGATCCCATGACGGTGCATTACGTACAGCACCATGCTGAGTATTTTTACGGTGTAGATGTCATGTGTATATATATATATACACATGTAACTGCACCTAGATATGCTGTAAAGGTGCTTGAGGAATATATGAGGGGGCATGGGATCAAAATATGGAAGCCCCTTCTGCGAAGCCCTCCGGGCAGCACAGCTTAATTCAGAATGTATGACTTCTGACCCAACCCCATAAAATACCGAAATCCCGGAAGCTTACAGGCACATACCCTATGAAATCCTGTAAGCCCCTCACTGAGTTTTCTGAGTCCCCTCTAGAAACCCCCAATCCCTCCGAGCAGACAATATACTAAACCCTGAACCTTGAACCCTAAACCTGAAACCCAAACCCTGAACCCTCAACGAAATCGAAATCCTAAACTCCGCAGTCTAAGACATAAAAACACCAAGCCCTCCGGGCAACCGTTCCCCATGAGGAGTGCATGGCATTATCCTCAAACCACCAGCGGCCGATGAAGGATACCTGCGGGGCCGAAGAGCCTCTTCTCCCCTTATTAACGTGGATCTAAATCAGCTATAGTCCAAACTCCTAGTATCCCTCCCATTTAGTGGGCCCTATACAGCTCAAATGGGAAATCAAATGTAACCTGGGTGCCCATGACATAATGAAGTGAATACCTATCATAAGAGGGGGCAGGGGAAAGTAATTGGGACTAAGCAAGGCTCAGCGAGGGAGACCTCGAGGACTTCCTCTTCTTCTTCTGGCAGTTGCTGTTGTTCTTCTTGCTGGTGGTGGTGCTGCTGCTGGCCGCGGCAGGGGCAGTGGCAGTGGCCAAGTTGCTTGTTGTTGCCATGGCTACTCATACCTCTACTGCTACTGCACAAACTCGCGTAGAAATTCCTCTTTAAGAAGCAGAAGAGAATAAGACAAATTCTGAGAATCACACTGATCAAGCATGGGGAGGATAAGAGTTGCAACAGAATTTAGGGACGGCATTGACACACTTGATGTACTTTGCCGTTCTGCACAAGAAACATGGATGCACACCAATCCTGCGCGCGCCTTGTCGAAAGGGTAAGACATGTTGCTCGCCTGTACAAGTGGGTTTGGGGTTTGGGCGGTGTAGGTGCCCGTTTTAGCGGCTAAGGGTCTAAGAGTGAAAGGTGTAGTGCTTCGGGCCAAGGAATTATCTATTGCACGCACGCACACACACAAAACAATAAAGCTGTGTTCTTTCATTGGAGCCGCTTCGACCTGCAGCAGCCACGCATGCGGTGTGAAGTGCCTCGTGCTTAAGGTCCATTAAGGGTTTATCCAAGGCCTCTCCATGCCACTGCAGGGCGTTGTTCGCAGTAAAGACTTCAAGCCACAGTCCCTGATCTCAAAGCCCTGAACCCTGACCCAAGCCTAAGCCCAAAGGCCTATACCCAAGTCCCCAAGCCTTCAAAACCAAAGACCCTAGACGCCAACACCTAATCCCCAACCTATGTACATGCAGAAGCCTCAATATCTACCCATATCATGTTGCGGTCTGTTTGGGGTACCAAGAATATACTTGTACAAGGTTCTAGGACAATGACACCGTTGATGGATGAAATCCTGCGCCACCTTAAGCCTTTAAAGTCCGAGGAGTTCAGTAATTTAGGGGCCCCAGGTGCAAGATTTCTTCCATCAACCCTAAACCCTCAACCCTCAAATAACCCTAACCCCTAGTAGTTGTTCAAGCCTCCCTTCATCGTGATCCCTTTAACCCCCCTATAAACGAGCGTCAGCTTCCATGTTCTTTTTCCTGGAATGCTCCGCAGAAGGGTTCTCGTTTTAAGGTTGGGGTCCAGAGGTCCAGGAAGCGACCAAAAGTCGTTGCGTTTGTGTCTGCAAGCGTCCGCAAGCATCGCGCATTTTTGGGAATCGAAAATCGTCGCGAAACGCAGAAACGTCGTCACTTTTTACGTTTAGCCTTCCAAAAGTGCCAACAGTCACGGGGATCGGGGGGGGTCCTGGTCGCGAAACGCAGAATTGTCGTCACTTTTGGACTTGCTTTGGGTCTTCGCGTCTCAAAAGTGTCAACAGTCACGGGGATCGGGGGGTCCTGGTCGCGAAACACAGAATTGTCGTCACTTTTGGACTTGTGTTGGGTCTTCGCGTCTCAAAAGTGCCAACAGTCACGGGGATCCGGGGGGGTCCTGATCGCGAAACGCAGAATTGTCGTCACTTTTGGACTTGTGTTGGATCTTCGCGCTTAAAAGTGTCAACAGTCACGGGGATCGGGGGGGTCCTGGTCGCGAGCGAAGAGGAGAGAGAAGAGAGAGGAGAGAAGAGGAGAGGAGAGAAGAGGAGATGGGAGATAGTGGAGAGGAAGGAAGAGAGAAGAGAAAGGAGAGAAGAGAGCATAGAGGAGGGAAGAGAGGAGAGATGAGAGGAGAGAGAGAGGAGAAGAGAGGAGAGAGAAGAGAAGAGAGAGGAGAGGAGAGGAGAGAAGACAGAGAAGAGAGGAGAGGAGAGAGAAGAGAGGAGAGGAGAGGAGAGGAGAGGAGAGGAGAGGAGAGAAAGGAGAGAGAAGAGAGGAGAGGAGAGGAGAGAGAGGAGAGGAGACAGGAAGACCCCGGACCTAAGTTTCCTCATTGGTGTCGCGCGTGGGCTGTCATTATCTTTGCGATGTATGTGTCACGTGTCCGCATTCGGGTTCGTGGATCCTATCTAGTTCCGTTTGATTCTCCGCTACGATACTTACTTAGGCACCGACACCCTATACTCTAAACAATGACATGGTAGTTGCCCAAAAATTGGGGAACCCAATATAGGCCCCAAAATATGATCATCGTTTTAACAGGGCCCCCAAAATGGTACCCCCAATTTTGAGAAACCCCAAACTTGGCATCCATTAAGACCTAACCCCGAAACCCTAAACCGCATAGCCCCTGATCTTACTGCTTCTGGGTAGGGAATAAGGTAATATCATCCCTACATAATCTCTATATAACATGTTCTCATATCTCTAAACCCTAAACCCTAAACCCTGTAAGTCATAGTAGCCCATAAGGAGCCTCGGTCATCCAGCCCAGGAGCAAAAACAGAAGCAGCTGTGGGCCCGGCATTGCTCCGGTGGTGTTCTGATGGCCTACAGCCCTAGGAGACCAAAAGCGGACCTTCAAAAATACGACTTAGGATGGGAGAGTGTGGGGTTCTAATGTCAATCAACAACGTTTTGCAGGAATACTTGCAATCTAGTTTAAGGTCCATTTGGTCTTTCCAGGCTGGTGGAATTGAGCCCAACTGCATACGATGCGTTGACTTCTGCGCTCTGCGTCGGGTAACAACACAATTCTGCTGAAAAAAAGTGATGAGAAAAGGTGATGCTGGCCTTTGTTGAGCTAATCATGCAGGAATGGATCCTTGCAGTAGTCCCTATATAAGCGATGATAGTAATTCCCATTTCCTTCTCCATTCCTTCAACCCCAGCAACCACCAAAGCCCAGGATGATAAAGTAGCAGCAGGCTGGGGAAGAAGAAGCAAAAGAGGATCGTGTCCCACTGCATTGCACAAGCTTGAGCTGCGCAGGGCCATAGCCAACGCAGCAGGAAAAATCATGTATGTTAATACACTCCTGATCATGGCCGAACGTCAGCTCTCAAACTTGTGGCAGCAACAACGCCGCTAGAGATCCATCAGGTTTAATCCTCTCTCCCTCAGATTAAACCGCCCCACCCCCTAATGTTAAATACTCCCAATCTACTATAGGGTTTTGCAAGATTTCCGCCCATCCACCGTATGACCTACTTGACGAAGTACTAATAGTCATGACCTACTTAAGATCAGGGTTACTAGACCAAACTAATACAAGAATGAGCCATCACTACACTTACTAAGTACCAATACTAACCAATGTACCTATACAAAAGGGCTTTGTACCTGATATCTTTGTCTCCTTCCTTTGTTTATTGGTCTAGGATACTCTAGCCAAGTAGGTTACAAGTAACATGTCCCCCGAAGAAGTATCAATGTTGTCAGAGACATGAAAGATCCTGAGCAGCAGACCTGCTTGTTGAGTGGGGCATACTTGGAGGTGCATTGGTGGTTAGAAGTGGTGTTGAAGTAGAACAACTCTAGGCAAAGCCATACAGGGGATCGTTCGAAGTCATCAAAGAGTAGGTATGCACTATGACTTACGGTGCTCTCCAAAAACTCACACAGAGGACACCCCTGAAGAAGAACTCGTGGCTCGCCCCTAAAGTGCAAAAGCAAGAGCCACGCGATTTAGGGTTGAGGGTTTAAGGTTTAGGGTGTAGGGTTTAGGGTTCGGCCCTAAACCCAAACCCTAAACAGCAGCCAGAAACCTGCAACTTTGAATTTCTCAATCCATGAGCCCAAGACTTTGAAGTCCTCAAGGCCATACCCTAAAACCCCCTAAAACCATGACTACGATCCTACAGCTTCCATTCCGAAACTCAGATGCGTAGTGCATGTTTTCGCCAGTTGAAATGAGTACAGTAAGGTTACATCCTTCTTCAAAAATCGTATACCCAAAGAGGAAGGCAATTGCATTTTCGGGACTGGAAGATCCCCTTAACAAACTACTCACCTCACCAAAGCCATGGGGCAAGAAATTCAGGAAGCCCCGAACCTTAAGGAAGCCTTAGGAAGGTGCATGGAGTCCCCCTTACCGGGCCCCCTTACGCGGGGTAGACCCTAAACCCATATCCTAAACCCTAAACTCCAAACCGCAAGCCCTGAACCAACAGCCTCCGCCAGTGGCAGCCCGAAGCACCAGTGAGACCTCTATAGGGTCTTCCCGGCCTCGGCAGCACTTCCTGGTGCTTGCGGGGTGTAGGGCCTAAACCCTAAACCCTAAACCCTAAACCCTAAACCAAGGGTTTAGCGTCTGAGGTCCAAGGGCCAGGGTTTACAGCTTAGAGTTTGGGTTCCCCGGTTGAGAGTTGCAAGTTTGGGGTTTAGAGTTCAAGGTTTGTGGCTGAATAGAGAAGCGTAGTCTCCGTATGTATATTCCCAACAGCAATCCTTGCCAGTTCCGTACTGAGCTCCGAAAATATCATGAAAAGCAGGCGGACTGCGACTCTGTTTGGCTTAGGGTTCAGGGTTTGGGTTTAAGTGTAGGGTTTTGGAGGGCATTGGGCTTGTGGTTCGGTACTCGGGGTTCAGGGATTAAGGATTGAGGTTCAAGGTCTACGGATTTAGGACGGATCGTACTCTTACTACCCTAAACCCTAAACCCTAAACCCTAAACCCTGAACCATAAACCCTAAACCCTAAACCCTAGGGTTTTAGGGGGGTAAGGAGTCAGGGCCGAGAGTCAGGTTTTGGTAATTTGGTAAGTGCAAAAGGAGGCAGCGGGAAGCTAAGGGGCACCTTTCAGGAGGCTTAGGGTTTAGGGTTTAGGGTTCAGCTTTGCGGGTTTTGGGGCTGTGCTTGCAGTTTTTGAAACTTAGGGCTTAGGGTCTTTAGGGTTCAGGGTTTCGAGCTTAAGGTCTTGAGGGCCAGTTTACATTTTAGGGTTCCCTTCCGGATCTCGGGTCTAGATGCATGAAGGTTCAGGGCCATTAAAAACAAAACAACCCTGGACTCTAAACCCTTTACACCAGGTAAGATTGCAACAGCCCCAAATGATGAACCCTAAGCATCGGATTTGGCGGTCAGGGTTTCCCGAATCCTTGCTGGGCCACATCAGCTAGAGGTAGAAAACCCCCAAACCCCCCTCTAGGAAGCCAAAGCCTACCTGAACCTGAAAAGTAAGCAAAAGAATTGCTCCATGCCCTTAAAGAAAGAGGTAACACTAAGACTGTCCTTCTACATACTTCGGGGTTTAAATTTAGATAACCGTGAAACCTTGCTGCCCGAAACCTAAGCCCTGCGCCCTGAACCGTTGTAACATCCTAACGTTTACTCCGTCCGAGCTGAATCCCAAAGCATGAACACTAAAACGCCAAACCCCTCTGCCACGCCCTAAACCCTAAACCCTAAACCCTAAACCCTAAACCCTAAACCCTGAACCCTAGCGAAACCAGGGCCCCTGCCCAGAGATATCGCTAGAGTTCCCACCTGCAGGTCGCTCTTGGCTAAGGGCCCTAGGATGAAAATTGGGTTCCAAAAATGAGGGGTTTAGGGTTTAGGGTTTAGGGTTTGTGCCTCTTAAAGGGTGTCCCAATAATAAGGATTAGAGTATAAGGGTTTAGGGTTAAGGGTCTCTGTTAAATTCCCCCTATGTATGGAAATGATCATTTAGCTTTGGGCTTTCGGGCTTTTTGAGAGGATCCTAAACCCTAAACCCTAAACCCTAAGCCCTAAACCCTAAACCCTAAACCCTGTGTTGTTGGTTGCTGGTTGATCTGTCTGACGGTTTTCTGGCGGATTCTGCTTAGCCATCTCTCCGGCTCATCACTGCCCCCGCTAATGAAAACCCGTGATTAATTAACCCTAGGGTTTAGGGTTTAGGGTTTAGGGTTTAGGGTTTAGGGTTAGGGCTTTAGGGTTTTAATACTAGGATCCATATTGGGGTTATATTGGGATAGTGGAAAAGGAAATGGTAACTACTATTCAGGGTTTAGGGTGTAGACCTATGATCAATAAACCCCTCGTTTTAAGGGCCTTCATATGAGGATTCCTACTATAATCCCTCTTAAGGGGAAGGGGTCTATTGATCACGGGTCTGCATTAGCCCTACCTTTGGTCAGCTAGGATTGAAGGAATGGATCCTTATAGTAGTCCCTATATAACCCATCATAATAATTTCCATGTTCTTTTCCATTCCTTCAGCCCCAGCTAACCAAAGGCCAGTAATGAACGAGGATCTTTGAGTTTAGTTTCATCCCTAAACCCTGTTTTTTTTGAGAGTGGAATGGGGGCCCCTGCACGCACTGCCATGCTCGGCTTGACTTCTCATGCTTCCTGTTGCGCGTGAGGAACTTAAATTCAAGCACCAACTTTTTTTTATCCATGTGAACTATAGTCTAAACTCCTGGTGTTCCCCTCAATCACCCTGGTAGTACTCCCCTAGATATTCCTCTCTAAAACCCGATCTAAGGAGTGTAGACTATGGCTTTTATTGTACTTGGAGGGTCACAGGGACTTAGTAAATAGGTTAATATTGGGGATAAGTAGGGCTACTATATGGAATAAAGGGGCTATAAACCTACTTACTAAGTCCCCCTGACCCACCAAGTAGTGGCTGAATTTGAGTTCCTTCACAGCAACCCAGACCCTAAACCCTAAACCCTAAACTCCGTGAAGGCAACCTTTTGTCCAAAAGCCTGCAAGCCGAAGCGCGTCGACTCTTGACGTATGCGGTTCGTTGTGGCCTATCGCCATGTTTTAGGCGAGCAGCGATATGGTGGATACGAAAAAACACTGCATGACGCTAAAAACCCGTATACCTTGGGAATTAAAGTACTGTGGTATACGCGGGTCATGCAGGATTTCGAGTATCGACAGTAGGTGCCCATACCGGCTATACCCTGCAGTTGTTGCGGGGTATGATATGTTGCCTTCGCAGGGCAAAGGAACAAAGACCAGTGCTGACATGCACATCGCAGAAATGGATGGGCCGTCACATCGCAGAAATGGATTGGCCCGTCCGGTCAATGATTGGGACCCGTGTTTCCGGCCAAAGATGAATTCTGGCATCTGGAAAACTCGCGCCATTTCGATCTTGGAATCTGTTGAAAAACCACCCCTCAGTGCGGTCGAATCTGCACACGTCCAGAAGGCTTGGCATGTTTACATGTGAGCTATAGTCTAAACTCCCAGTATCCCCGTAAATAACCCCTATATTATTCCCCTATATACTCCCCTTTAAGGAGTTAGGCTATAGCTCATATAACACCCTAAACCCTATATAACACCATTTTAGTAGTTTCCCTTTTCTTTTCCATTATCTCTATATAACCCCTGCTGCGTCCTGTGTGGACATCCAAGCCAAAACCTCCCTATTGCTGCTGTCGGCCGCCATTAAAAGACCCGTGGCATCGGTTCGACTCTTACGGCCGATGCCTTGGCGATGCGAAACTTGAAAACGAATGAATTAAGCCTCATGGTCCTGATGGGTACTTTGCCTGCAGGTGGTGCACCTTTGCCATCATTTCCTGCCGTCCTGAATCCTGTAGGGGCGTAGGATCCATGGTCCCCATCTTGGCTAGCATAAGATCTTCAAGCTCACGCCGACTGGTGACGTTCGTCCTCAGCCCGAGACCACGGAGGAGTGCCGGCACCGAGCTGTCAGCGGGAAGGTCTTGGGCTTCCTCATCCTCCTGAATGAGTTTGGAAGCCTCCGCACTTGCTGAGCTTGTGAGCTTGTTCTCTCGCTGGAGCCTTCGCAACGCAATGCTGCGAATCAAGTGGATCTTGCGGATTTTCCGGTTCACACGTGCCTCTGCTGCTGCCTTCTTCCTACCCTTCAGATCTGTGCACACGCCATCCGCTAGAGCAGAGATCACGCCTGCAGTACTCGAGAAAGCCGAGATCAAGTTGAGGCTGCCCAATGCACAACCAGCACGCACGTCAATTCCATCGATGCAGTTGGT